CAATAGCCGTGATTATGGTACATTAGATACATTTGTCCCACATTGAAAACAATGATTTTAGGATGTATTGTTCACCTATTAGTAAAAATAAATGTACAATCATGCAAGAACATAAGTAAGATTACAAAGAAGAGGAGGCCATCTCCTCCCACAACCATCTGGTGCCTCTTATTCTAAGTTTGAAGTGCACTTCTACATAGTTTTCATTTATATCCTATGCTTCATGTTTTATTTTTTACCCTGAAGTCCACTGGCTTATTACTTGTCAGTGCCCTTGAAGATTTCAAATACTTATATGATAAGATTCCCTCATGGTCGTCTCTATTAAAGACTAAAAAGGTTCACTAGTTCTATCAGCTCTATCAGCCTGTGAGTGCAGGAGATGACCTTTCACAATACATCTAGTTACTCTTCTCCAGACTTCACAGTGGAAATATGTTAACTAGTATATTATACAATTGTAACATAACTTCTTTGGGTTTGAATTTGACAAAATAGCCTTTGTTTGTTTGCCTTTGTTAGCACTTGCCCACATCTGAAAGATGCAAGCTATGTGTCAAATAACCACCCAAGTATTTTTCATAAACAGCCTTTTTTAGCTCAGCATTTCTTAATTTGGATTTTTAGTTTATGGTTTTGCTATCTTTATAAAAAACTTCAGTGCCGACTGCCAAATATTTGCACGGTCTTGATTCACTAAGAAGTTTGCTAACCCTTCCATTTTGGTATCTGCAAACGTGACTAGTTTATAGACTCTACTGGACTACAACCTACATGATCGATAGAAATTAGAGAGAACAGTTGTCCTGATGCAAATCCCTCTAGTACTCCACTAACTACACCAGGTTTGAGCTTTCACCCCATCTTTACTGTTTGGTATTTATTAACCAATCCTCAAGGCAAAAAAACAAATTTCCTTGAATGCCTAATATGAAAAAATACGTTTTAAATGATCTTTGTTCCCATCAAGAACATTCTAAAAATCTGAAACTTATTGAATCTTCAAAGACGTCTGACTTGTTGGCTAGCTAGGCAAAACCTTTTCTACATCCATATTGATGGTACATTAGGATTTTAATTCAATTTAGGTGATCTTATTTAAAAACAGATTTTAATTTGTTGCTGCCATTTTAAAATGACCTAAAATTCATTTAAACTGTAAAGTGGAACTGAAATCTTTTTTTAAAGGTAAGATTCAGTCAATCCGTAGTTTATTTGTGAGCCCAGATAAAACAGAATGGTGATGCATAGGATTTCTGAGAGTGTACACAGCAGCTTGGCACAGGGGGTTAAACTATCGTCAGAATTTGTTTAATCTTTCAGTTATCAAAAAAGAATACAAAATTGTGCCAGATTAGCAATGAAACTGCTACGTGGTAGAGCATAGCTGTATTAAACCTTTGCTTCCACCTAACAACCATTGCTGCCACTACAATGTGGGGGGTGCTGGCTCTTTTAATGAGCCCCTTTGGGTCAGGAAGGAGGCGATCAAACACCAGCTGGTGGAGACTTCTGAAGCAGGATCTCTGCTGCTTCTAGTCACTCATGCAGACAGCTGCATTGTTGCTGCTAATGATACATTTCTCTCCAGCAGGCATGACAGCAAGAGAGCTACAATTAAGCTGCTACTTTCTGGTTGGAAGGCAATCTGGGCTAAAGCTAATTTTGTTTTCATAGACTGGAAATCAGCAGATCCCCCTGCCTTTTAATTGAAGTTTTACCTTTCAGACCTTGTCTACACCATAGTGCAAGACTGAGGATTTTTATAGGAGGGGATGGATATTGAAGAGTCTCCCTATAGTGCAAGACTCCACCAACACTGTGAATATTTGAAAGTCTCATCTAACTCATTGTTTTATATGGTAGTGAAATGTACAGTTCAATCACAGACTAGGACAGGGCTCAGTGATGTCACGTAGTGTTTCAGGACCCATTGCAGACAGCACAATCTGGAAGGGAGTGAACAGATATGGGGAGGAGACAAGGAACTGGGCTGGTAGACGAACAGGGGGACGTGTTAAAGGTGCTCGGGGGGCGTAGTCCAGGCAAACTAGTCCAAAGGGTGTTCGTAGGGAAATCTGCAAATGTCCAAAGCCGGGTGATCAATCCAAGACAAAGACAAACGAAGTTAAAAGCAGGAACGGGATCAGGCGAAGGGTTGGGGGAATAAAAAAGGGTAACGGGGCCAGGCACTCCCAGCCCTGGACACAGATGGTCAGGACACCGGGGAAAAATCTTGGCTTTTGGACAACCCGGAAAATAGGCATGCCTTGTGGCTTCCATCTTCCAATTCTGAGCCCGGAACACTGGCTTTTAAAGGGGAGACTGGAATAGGAGGCAGGTGCAGGAGATCAGATAAAATGTGAAAGAGCCAGAGCACCCTTAAGGGGGAGGGATTAGAATCGTGACAGGTGACCTGCGGCACATGTGCCATTATTGTCACACAAAAGTTATTTTTAACTGCATGTACAGTAAAAGTCTAATAAGCTACAAAGACACTAAGTTAAAGAACGATAAAAACTATGCACGATTGTTAAGCAATTCTTTACAGCATGCTACCCAATGAAAGCTCTTTGGTGTAGAAAAAACAAATTGCTTGGTTTACTTACTGCATTATTTTTAGAAGGGCTAGACTAGTTTTTTCACAGTAAAGCTCACAATCATTAACACTGATAATATTTTTCACACATAAGTATAAAGAAAAAGATTGTAAAGTCATGGGAAGGTTTTGGAACACTTTATGGACTGTCTTGATGTAGTCACAAACTTTTAAATGCACTGCAGTAAAGTTAACTTGCGGTTCGATATTTGCCTAATTTTTATTTTTGGAAACTTAAATAGCATCTTAACAGAATCACCTAGAGAGTGTCAAAATTCTTCCATTATTGAAGATGATTTGAGAATTTTCACAACTGTCACTTTGTCATTTAAATGTTTTAATTTATTTTTGAGATACAATGTTTCAGATGTCAATATCTTTGCAAGGCAAATACACAGATTTAAAACCAATGATGTTTAAAAGATTTAGATGTTGGATTTTTTTCAGCATTTAGATTAACATACTTCTGTGAACAGGTATTTTCACACAAAGTCAGTTTTTGTTACCCTCCCACAGCCAGTTAACAACTGAGCACTCAGAGGGTTGGATGCTAGCTGCCTGAAGTGTCAGGCTACAAGCCTGTGATTTGCAAATTCAGCAAAGGAAACAAAGGCAAGGATCACTCCACATGGTTAGACATGCATACTGATATATTCATGTTAGATATTATTATATATTAAACTTGTATTAATAAAATTGTAAGGATGGTTATTATTGAGATTTAAAAAGTATCGATGTCACACAAATCCATAAAAATATGTACATGAGCTAACTCTTGGCTCAACACTTCTGAGAGGTTGTCAACACCTGGTCTAAGACTACACTGAAAGGAGAAACAGAACCAAGTGCAAAGAAAAGCACCAAATAGTGCATGAAGGACAGAATCAGGCCAGTACCTACTGTACTGCTAATCAATTTACAGAAGAAAGAAAATAAAATGTTACACCTGAGAAACAGTGGCCAAAACTGCTACTACCACAAGGTCCTACTGAGCCAGTACTGCCCAGAGGAAAGCCTCCTCAGCCAGGACAGCACAATTAATGCCACAATACCTTTCCCTTGATAAACTGGTGACCCTCTGGTTCAAGTCTAATTTGTACAGGCCTTTCCAAAAAGACCCCTAAAGTTCTACACACCTACTGTAAGCCCTTTTTTCCCGTATAAATCCTTCATTTATGTACTAAATCTGAAAAGGCTATTCAGTCCTTTAGCAATGCCTCCTCTCCTTTGTAACCTTTCTTTCTTAAGTCTACCGATTTCCTCCCACTTCCTAGGAGTAAATATGCACCAATGCAATTCCTGCGAAGGCCACTGTAGACATTGTGCTACAACATTTGCCAGCTAAATCCTTTCATTGGTCTTACAGAAATGTCAGCCTATGTCATTTGTTTTACCCTAGACTACTGGAGAGAGCTGTGGTAGAGCCAGTTGTCAGGATGTGTCGACCTGAACAGGGAGACCTGCATTAGGCTCTGAATTGCTCCTGCACACTATGTTGTTTATACAGTACCTCCAACAGCTAACATGCCCAATACTACAGTCATTTTACTGGGGGAAACCGGCACCTTTCTTTAATTCCAGACTGCCAGAGGCCAGATCTGTCTCCAGTTAGGCCTGGTAAAAGCCTCTCTCGTGTGAGTGGGCCACTCCTGTGAGTGCAGCAGTGGTCACCAGTAATACAGTGTGCTAACTAGTTCCACCAAAATCTGCTACATATTCTAAACCCATGTTGCTCCATCAACCCATCCAGCAGCATTAACAGATAAAGTCTATCTGGTGTCTCCGTTCAAAAAGACACATTCCATAAACTACAGACTGCAAATAAACTCATACTGCTATTTCTGTTTATAAATAGCCTTTTAAATAAGCTGAAGCTTAAAAATAGATTAAGTATTAAATTAAAAGTACTTTCATTGTAAATAAAATTAGGAAGGTGGACTGTAAAATCTGTGCTAAATCACAGATCAGCTACTGTAAATAAAGCTGTGAATTTAGGTGTGGTAAAAATGCACACTTAAGCATATCACAACCTGCTGCAGAAATTAAAAGCAGAACTTCACACAGCCTACCTGGTTAGTGCAACAATGTTTTTTGGTTTGAATTGCTCCCAAAGAAGTGAAAACCCACAAGAATACAAATGCGTCTTGAAGCATAGATTAGACAAGACAGTCTTCAAAAAACAGTATATTTGTTACACCAAAATAAATGATAGAGCTGAAAACAATGAATAGCAGATCAGGGATCACACTGCTACAGTATAAAATACTTTGTTACATTAAAAATTAGTATTTTATACCTCTGTTAAAGAATAAGAAAATGCAGAAAATGACAACTTACATTTGTGACAAACTTGAAATTGCAAAACTTTAAGCAAAAGGAAGAGTTGCATTCCATGACATACCTTTTCTGGAGTTTTTGGGAAGTTTTGGAAAGCTCTGATCTTGAGGTTTACACGCTCTGTAAGAAGAAGAGATCAAGATTTTACAATTTCACTCATATAATATGGACAGTTGCACAGTGAGCGATGAAGGATAAGCGATAATTAGATATACTGGGCTAAGATTAGGGAAAACAGTTCGGAGGAGGAGGGAGAAGGATCTTTTTATCCAGCCCAGAGCCTCCACCTAAGGGAATGACAACCCAATACACCGTTGACATTTCTGTGACTTACCCCCTCCAAATAATGAGCTTTAGAAACTCCTCAGCATTAATATTCTATCCAGCTGACAGGCTTTTCCTAGATAGGAATGGTGTACAATGTTGTACAGACACTCTATACACTCATGTTTTCAATCCACAGAACAATTCAGAATTCATGCCAATCCAATGAAAAATTCACTGGCTATACAAGGACCTGTGTATTTAATAATAAGTACCCAAACACAATTACAAACTGAAGGCCATTTATGCTGTACTTCACTGAAGCCACCTTTTCATCCCATTACTAAAGATTTGATTGGTGAAATAAAACCTTTGTATTATAACTTACTGGATAATCAAGCATTTTTAAATGAGTGTACTGTACAAAGGTCTAAAGCAGGGCTTTTCAGTCTGTATGTGTGATGTCCTGACTAGCTCCAGTGCTCCTACTGTACATCAGCACCTCCAATTACCACAAAACATCGGAGCCCAGCGGTTGAAGACAACTAGACCCAAAAACAGGTCCTGGGTCCCACTGAGGGACTTATCGGTACCCCAACTGATAAAGACATTCCACCCAGGGTTCCCGAAGGAGGCCACCCCTTTGGGGGAGGCACTGGGATGCGCTGACGAGCTCCAGTGCTCCTACATCAGCACCATCAATCACCACGGCGCATTCCACACAAGGAATTTCTTACCCGTTTTTTTTCCCGTTCACAGCCATCCAGTTCCTGACTGCAGCTGCTAATTACCCATCATCCCCTCCGATCTCCATCCCAGGACCAACTGTTTCCCCAGTGCATCTCAGCTGCCTACCATTCCTCTTTCTGCTTTCCAATTATTTCATTATTATCATCCACTCACCTAGTAGAATCCGTGATCTTCACCGCTAATCGGACTCTGAGAACAATTACTTTGCCGGGCCCTTTTTTCCACCTACGGGCCCGGTGTAACAATATGTTTGATACCTGATATCAACTTCTGTATTTTGTTACAGCTATGCACTTTATTTTATTTCAATTACAATTATTTACGTGCTCAGAGATCAATAATAGACTACTGTTTCCATCTTTTTTCATAAGCATGAACACAATTTGAAACTACTGTATATTAAGCTTCTGAGGTACTAATGAAGACTAATACATGCATTCATATAAATCGGAGATAGACAGCTCTGTTCTCCGGAGTAGAATTTATTATTATTTTTCTACATGTACTATCACTGTGCTAATGATTTAGACAATAAGTTATATAACGATTATTTGAAGTCTGCATCTACTGTTTATAATAGTTACACATGCCCATAAATTCAACAGCTGTCTGACCCTTGAGGACAGGAATTCTGTTTTAGCAATACCAGGAGCCTGTGTCTCCCTTCCTCAATGTTATCTCCAGATCTCAATCTTTCTGCTTCCCACAGTAGTCTCCCACATATCCTAAATGTATCATAACGATTGTTAAAATGCCTCATATTAGAAAACTAGAGCAGTCATGTTTATAATGCTTACAGATTTAATGCTCTAAATCCAACAAGATTAACGTAAAATTCAAACAACCTTTGAATTGCGACAATCTACTGTTTATACGTTAACCTGGTGAGGTACGGTGAACTGATGCACTGAGCAGTTATAATGTTAAATAAACCAAATAAAACTGAAAAAAGAGTTGAAAACTGTGATGGGTTATCACGAATCAGCAGGACTAGCGTTACATCTGATGTTCGATAAATCCATCCTTTATAAAGGACACTACGTTTCTTGTTTGCGTCTCAGAAAAATTAAACAATAGGGCGCATTATATTCAAAGGTGCTTTGTAGGTTTTATTTTTCTGGAAAGACCGCCACTGATCGTCAACAGCTCTGTATCTTTCCACACTAAGCGCACTGCCGCTCCTCCAGGCCTCTGCCTGACGGCCGCTGTCCCTTCAGGACCACTATCCAGGGCACCGCTGACTTCCACTGTTAGCGGATCGCTGAACAGATTAAAGTATTTGATTTTTATATATTTTTTCTAGTTATTACGCAAACAGAAAAGAGAAATCGCAACTGAATAGGAACAACGTCACTGACAAATACGGAATGTTTACGTTTAGGTGTCAACACTCAGCTTTTGAAACAGGTTGCATTGACTTTTTATTTTCTAAATTTTATTAAGCCAATAAAAACCTCTTAAACCTCTTCGACTCCTGGTCGAACTAAAGTTTGTTTGTTAATATCTTTACGTTAGAGTTTTTTTTTTGCTGTTCTGCGAAACCACGGTGAGTGCAAATGAAAGAAATACTGTAACCTCACAGCGCAACAGTGCATACGGAGTCGCTTCCGAAAATACGCTTATTAAACATAGGGGGTGAAGCGAGAATGGGAAAAATAGTTCTAGTCGAATCTGTAGTGTCCCCGAGTATCCTTCCTTAGAAGGTAAACATTTGTGAATATTATTCAAACCCTTGACAACTGCTTTGCAAATTTGACCTCTGAAAATATAAAACCTTGAGAATAGATTTTGGGATTTTGGATTTGGCACTCAGAATATCTTTGCTAGTAGTAATCCCCGTTTATAACAAAGTACGCCAAATCCCATGCAGCTGTATGAAGTCACTGGGACAGTTCCTAACTCGGAAACATTATAAAAGATCGAAAGGAAAACTATTTTCGAGTCTAAAGTACTTGGACGCCATTGCGTGCGTCTGTACAGTCAGTAAGCGATTCGTTACCACGTCTTCCCTTTGAAATATGTGAGCAAAACACAAAAATGCAGGTCACAGATTACAGTCTTCGAACGCGTTGGAGTTTGGGTGTTCGTCCAGAATCCTATTTGTTGATTTTTATTAGTGCTAAATTAATTAAATTAAGATTTTAGATACCATTGACGGGAATCATCACTGCATTCAAGTAATTTGTGACATGTCCAACAAAATTCTGGATTCTGCAAGAACTAGTTATTTTATTCGCTCTGAGTTTTTAAGAGAGTCGGGTAGAAATTTCAAAGCATTCTGGGGTTCGTTTTGCAATCTGCTTTGTTCACCCAGAAAATGCTAAAGGAAGGAAGCCAGCAGCCAAGATAGTACTACACCCAAATTTATCAAAGCAGCAGGGAAATCTTGGTGGGGGTCAAGTAGCAGATCATCTTTAAACCCAGGAGGGAATTAATCCTACAAGGTTAATGCAATCAAAAATACAAATCAAATCCACTAGTGCTTCAAACAAAGCTAGTGAAAACTAACCTTATTCAGAGTCCACAGTTGAAGTAGAGACTGGTAGTAGCAGTCTGATACTGTACCTCTTCTGAATTCTATCTAATATATGGTAAGATGCAGTTCATTTTAATTAAGAACAGTAAAAAAAAAACGTGAAGGGGGTGTGTACATGGAACTAACGGTGTATTTTTTCAATATTACTCAAAGGTGTCATCACTGTTGACTTTTGATCTGTCATGACACGTTCAGAAAAACAAGACAGGGTTGTTTTTGAAAAACAGTTGTGTGCTCTAAAGCAGCTTTACCTGTTAAAATTAATTCAAAGCCAACCAGATCACTCCAATTCCCAATTAATAAATGCTTAATCTACCATTGAATGGGAAGCTGTACTGGAAACACTCATAGCTGGCAATATATTTCTAATAGTTATTGAGAGTGAGCACACTTAAACATGTAAAAGTCACCCTTTTCTCATTTGTGCTGTATCGATTCCAGAGAAGTGTTGACTTGTGGGGGTGGGGAGAAAAATACACAAAAAATAAAAGATCTAAGCACAGCAGGAATTCACTCAGGGTTGCAGATGAGCACACAGTGAGAAGATCCGATGAAGTGCCAAGAGCCACAGTGTGCAAAAGGCCATTCACAGAAACGCACAACAGCCTTAAAGGCTGTTTTTTTGCAGCCTTTGCAGCCTTAAAGGGTCTCAGAGAGCAAATGTCACAATGCCTGTCATCCATTTCGGAGACCACAGTCTTCCAGTTTTATCCAAAAGTGTTCTCAAAATGATATACCAGATTTATTTTCCTTAAAGGTTTATTTAATTTTGGGGGGTTTGGGATTTTGCTGAACACTGCCTTAGCTGTGGTTCAGTCCTGGAGGCTGGCATGGTGGATCAGTGCCAGCTGCACAGTAGAACATTTCCTGTCCCTGCTTCCTGCCTTCTTCCTGCTCTGAATATCGCTTGGCAAAGGGGAATCAGTGCTGGCAGGCAAATGAGGGTCATCCAAAGCAGTGGCGAGATAAGATCTGTATGTACAAAAACATACAGTCCAAACATCTTGACCTCCCAAAGACAAATGTTTTCAAGAGCCTTTCATAGTCTAAAGCACCTCCTGGCTCTTATGAGATACGGGCTCTCTGGCTCTCATTCCACCTGATCCCTTAATAGAATTCATTCAGTTCATTAATTCGTTGAAGTCTTACCATTTTTAGCATGGGTTGATGGATGTTTTGACAATCCGTTACTTCAGCCAATTACAGGCAATGGCAGAAGACAATAGACTGTTCTTCTAGCAGATTGTATGGATGTCACAGGAACTCACTGTACCTTTCCAAAGTACTTTGCCCATGAGATAAATCTAGCCAGAATTATTTAATTGGCTAATGGGCTCAAACTGTGTGTCATTGGGAAGAGAGCCAAAAGGTGTCTTCACTGCAATACACTCTTTAACAGTCAGTAGCACTTTACTTAATATTCATGCTCATCTTTTCTGTCTATTATGTCTCTTCATTGACTGCAGCAGCCAGACTTTGGGGGTTTCCAAAATCAGTTATACAGTATAATGAAATAACAAAAAGCAAGCATGTCAAAACTCCTCAAAGCATGTCAAAACTCCTTTCCTAA